TATTCTTACACAATCAGTTCTTGTTTAGTAAATCAGTCTCAAAACAAGATCAAAAAGAATTTATTGCCTGGATATAAGATTTTAAAACTTGTTTAGATGGACAGTTTTTGCAGGATGTGATACACAGTGAGGTTTTACACAGTCTCACTCAGACTCAAAGGAGGAGTAGTGTGTTTTTAAACGAAACATGAAGACTGCGAGGGATGGAGACTGTCAGATGAAAAATGCCACGATAATGAAAAAACTAATCAGATTCTCAAATAATTTTAGGATAAACATACCTTGCTAAACTGCTGTTACTGTGTAAATTAATCAAACGGTTTAGGACAACAAATTTACTAAAAATCAGCGACACGGAAACAGGATCTCTGTTAAGAGGAGAAGAAAAAAGGTAAAAGTGAACCGTTTGTTTGCTACAGTTATGTATTTATTACATTTTTCAGTCTGAATTCATGGTTTTAGAGAAAAGTACTGGAGAAGAAGGCCCCACTCAACACAAAAATAGTAGTTCAGGTGCTCATCCAGTAATCCTCCCCTCCACACATCAGACTGAGGCAGTTCTAATTAATTTCCATTGTTTGGATTCTTATCCCTTCGCTGCACTTCTCTTCAGTATTTGCTCTTTTCCCCCCTCCTCTAATCCTCGCTCTGGGAGAGCGATTCCTCTTTTTTTCCCCCCTCCTCCTCAGTGACCGGAAAAGCCGCTGATCAGGATCGGGACAAACACGGTGATGGGATTTAGAGGGAAGCCCACAAGGGGTGTTAATAAGAGGAGAGACGGGGACGGGTTCTGCTGGGCTGACCCTTCTGTTGTCCTGTGCGGATAATCAAAGCAGCTTTGACTCTCAAAAGGCTCAAAGAAACAGTTAAACCCCCCTGAAAACACATCCTGTGGCATCTGAGCATCTTATACGGAGTAAAGTCACAGAATGAGTTCGCCTGTGACTGTGTTCCTCTCAGAAACGGATCCTTTCCAACATGTTTTTTGCATTAGGCCCTCTTCATTAGTGTCGCCGAGCGTTCCAGAGCAGATGAATGCGAGTTGGGGATGTTTCAAAGCTGCTGTCTCTGTTTCTTATTTAGCCGGTGTTTTCTGTCTTCACGTCTCCCTGCAGACCTTCGTATCGGATCTGGAGGGGCCCGGAAGAGGCAGGGTGAGAAGGGAGTGGTGCACCATGAGCGTAAAACTCACACCGAGTTCAGTCATTTGTTTTGTCCTTGATTGTTCAGGACGGCCTTTAAAAAAAGTGTTTTATTACTTAAACATACTGGGAAGAACCTTCAGTTATCCAATGTTAGCAAAATCTCTCAGAAAATGTAATAAAACTTGTAGAAATCCTTGGATGTGCATCCACCCACTCAGTTCAAGATGGCTGCCTCAGCTAACTGACAAATAGAAGCTTAATATTAGGTGGGGGTAGTAGCTGAGAGTAATGCTCAATACAAACTTTGAATGGTCATTTAACGCAGCTTTTTGTTTCCACTCCAGAAGCTTCAAATCAAAGCTGTCCTCCCTGTTTCTGCAGGTCCTCCTGCAGCTGGGAGCTGACGGACAGGAAGTGAAACGTGACGCGCTGCTGATAAACACTCCTCTCCACATGGAGGCACCATGACAAAACTGAAGCGCTCAGAATCCTTTAAATGTCATGTTTGTGTGATGGATCGCATGGCCTGGGTGGTTTTCAGGACTGCCGAGGTCATTCCTTTACTGCGGATCAGAACCGGCTGCAGGATTCATTTCTGCAGTTCTAACTGACCCCAAACATAACCACCCACCAATGGTCTTTGAGCCCTGTAAAGAGAGATGGGTCCTGGCAAGTGTGGTTTGTAAAAATGGGTCTTACAAGGTAACAAATACACACAGACACACACCTTTAAGATGCATGACACAGCTCTGCTTTGGTTTATTTTAAATTGATCTAAAACGGAGCGAAGCTGCAGGTTTTTGGTAACAGTGTCAGGATTTTTGAGGTTTCTGTGGCCTCTGGTCCACGCTGGGGCCTCAGACCGGCTGATGGGTCACTGGTTGTGATGTCGTCTGGTGAACAAACAATCTGACTCAACAGATCTGAATAAAGCAGGCAGAGGAAACAGCAGTGATTTAAGTTAAATGTACAATCATTAAAATGACTGTAAGGTCTTTTGATCGATCACTGAGCAGCTGAGATATTTTACTGACAGAGTGTCGTCATTTACAATGTTTTAGGTCAGGATGAAAACTGAAAGTAAAGTTTTTTTCCCCACTTGCACTTGTGTATGAATCTAATGCTTTTGTTTTTTTTAATGTATTTTATTTTTTCT